CCAGGGCTCAGTGATCAGGCCCAGGGCTCAGTGATCAGGACCAGGACTCAGTGATCAGGCCCAGGGCTCAGTGATCAGGCCCAGGGCTCTGTGATCAGGACCAAGACTCTGTGATCCGGCCCAGGACTCAGTGATCAGGCCCAGGGCTCAGTGACCAGGACCAGGACCCAGCGATTAGGACCAGGACTCAGTGATCAGGCCCAGGGCTCAGTGATCAGGCCCAGGGCTCAGTGATCAGGACCAGGACTCAGTGATCAGGCCCAGGACTCAGTGATCAGGCCCAGGGCTCAGTGACCAGGACCAGGACCCAGTGATCAGGACCAGGGATCAGTGATCAGACCCAGGTCAGTGATCAGGACCAAGACTCAGTAATCAGGCCCTGGGCTCAGTGATCAGGCTCACGGCTCAGTGATCAAGACCAGGGAAGATTGATCAGGACCAGGGCCCAGGGGTCAGGACCAGGGCCCAGGGGTCAGGACAGAGACTTTGGTGTCTCTGAGAGGTCGGCATCATAATCTTGTTGGTGAAGTCCAGCTCTTGCTTTGTCCTTTTATTTTTCAGGACCAGCTGGTGGGTTCTAGGCACATGGGACTGCATCCATGCCTCTTGAGACCCTGCCTTGGGCCATGAGGTAGGCATACCCCTCTCCAGAGCCTGCCCTTCTCTTTTCCCCTCCCGCTCATTCAGAGGCTGAGAAGTTTTGCTTTTGGGATGGTTTATTGCACCAGGAAGGCCTCTGGGTGGGTGTGCAGCTTTTGAGCAGGGCTGAGCTCTGACATTCAGCTGGGCTCTCAGGAGGCTGCTCCAGGCTCCTCCCTGCAAATACAAGAGGGTCAGGGCCTGAGGGGGCTTCTGAGGTGGGTAGGGTCCTTGTCGTCACCCCATCCCCGCCATGGCCAGCTCCCAGGGGACTGAGTTGAGTCCAGCAGCAGGTGCACCCAGGGGGAGCAATGTCCTGGCCTGGCTGGGGCATAATCATGCTCTGACCCTGGGCCTGCCCATGTCCTAGTGTCTTTGAGGGGACCCCCCTCTCCAGACTAGGCCGCCAGGCTGGAAGGATAGGCTGTGCTCTGGTGGAGCCAGGCAGTCTCTCCCGTCAGCCCGCTGCTCTGTCCCCTAGCCCCCACCTGCGCCCGGCCGGCCCCGGCTCAGTACTGAGGGCCCTCTCTGCTGCCAGGCGGGCCCCGGACGCTCGTCACAGTCAGTGCCGTGCTGTAGAAGGACTCAGGAAAGGAGGAGGGTGAGCGAGGGCGTGCTGGTAGAAGAGACTCGAGAAGGAAGAGGGTGAGCAGGGGTGATGGGTGGTGGGGCCCACAGGCTGGCCTCCGGGGCCGTCCTCCCTCTGGGGCCTCCTCGGAGCCAGGTCCAGCACCAGCCAGGGAAGCGGCTTCTGGTGATCTGTAAGACACCCAGGGCCTGCGTGGGTGGCAGCCGAGCCAGCGCCCTCCCCTTCCACCAGCTCTCAGGCTGGGGACACTGGCTGTAGGGGTGCCCGGTCTCAGCTCTGAGGCTGCCTCAGGGGGGACGGGACAGCAGGTGCCCAGGGAAGGGGCTGGGATCCTTGCAGCTCTTGAGACGCCCACAGGACTCCTGCTCTGGGGCCTCAGAGCCCCTGAGAGAGACACGCAGGGCGGGAGTGTGGGCACTGTCCTTGCTGCGCCGAGGAAAGCTCAAGCCCGAGGCCTCCAGCGTGCTCCGCAGGCCCTTGGCCTTGGGCTGGCCGTGGCCTGGGCCCTGGTGGGGCCAGAGGAGACCAGACATGCCCACCTCAGGGTGCTTCAGACTGAGACACAGACTTTGGTCTGTGGTTCAGTGTGCCAAGGGCCAGGTGGGGGGACATGACCGGGGACCCCTGCTGCTCTCCCAGGAGGTGGCCAATAAGCTACAAGGAGCACCAGAAAGGCCCCAGTGAAGGCCACCAGCACAGGGAGCTCTGCGTTCTTCAGGGTCCCAGGGCATAGACTCCCACGTTAAATGGGATTTGAACCTGCTTGTTATATGCTGACACATCCAGTCATTCATCCATTCGTTCATCCATCCATGGCATCACCCATTCACCCACCCACCCATCCATCCATCCATCCGTCTGTCCATCCTTTCATCCATCCATCCAACTGTCCATCCACCCACCTGTATGTCCATCCTTTCACCCATTATATGTCCTGTGATCCATCCACCTATCTCTGTGCTGTCTATCTGCTGGCTTCACCCTCATCTCCTGACTCTTCCTCCCTCCTCATCTCTTTAGAAAGCTCCTCCTTTGGGCAGGTCCTGGTCCCTTGGTGGCTGGACCACATTCTCTATCTCAGCACTTCCTCACTGAACTCATTGCTCCCTCTGTTGCCCTTTGGTGACTGGACCCTTAGAGAAGGGAGCTGTGGCCAGGGTGGGTAGGGGTCCGCACTCCACTTTGGCCCTGGGAGCAAAGAGAGGCAGCCAGAAGGTCAGGTTCCCTGGGGAGGCCCAGCAGGTGTCTGGGACAAGAACAGGGGCCCCTCTGCCCCCTTGTGGGAGCCCTTGTGCTGGGTGTCTCATGGTGGTCATGGGACTGCCCCTCCCTGGCCCTCCCCTTTGGCCAGGAACTCCAAGCAGAGGATGTGGAGGGGTTCTGGGTGGGAGCTGTTTCTTCTGACCCCTTCCCACCCCTGCCCTGACCATCTATGGTTTGGTCCATACTTGGGGGTCAGCAAGGGATGAGAGACTCAAATCCAGGGGCTGGGCAGGGAGTAGGTGCTGCCTGAGAGGGGTCTCTCACACTGACCCCCAGTCTGTACCCAGCCGGGCACACAGGGAGGCCTGCGGCCAGGAGGGGATACCCCCCTGGGGCTCGGGCAGGGATTCCTCTTGCCTTCCTGGAGCTAGTCTGGCTGTGAACTTCCTGCACCTGCAGGTTTTGGGCATGTGCACGCATGCGTGCATGTGAGCATGAGCACATGTGAGCACACGTGTGCATGTGTGTGTGCACCTCTGTGCACGCGTGCAGAGCAGTGTGGTGCGGGGCCGGGCTGGTCCCCTTTCTGTGCGAGGCAGCGGGGCTGGCCTGCGCGTCTGTGCGTTGTGCCCACAGCGGATGGTCCGGGGGCTCTGGAACCCAGCCCCCTCCCTCGCCGTTCCTCCCAGGATCCCCTGTGATGGCACCAGCCTCTTCCCCGTCACCAGGCTCCCCTCTTTCCCTCTTAGTGTCTCCAGCTGCCCCTAGAGGCAGTTTCCTGAATTACAAGTGACCAAGTCACCTGCCTGCTGGGAGGGCCCACCGGGGCTGTGCCTGCCTCTCGCCCCAGCAAGGGCACGTGTCACCCCCAGCTCGGCCCTAATGGCTGTGCCACGCACCCACACTCATGATCACACACTCGCACAAGCTCACGGTGTGAAGGCACCTCGGGTGCCTGGCTGGGCGGGAACCCGGGGCCCCTCTTGGTGTTGGGGCAGGGGTGCTCCTTCCTTTCTGGGCCCCGCCCCTCCCCGCGTGCGCAGATCCCCAGGACGGACTGACGGGTGGCCGGAGGGAGGCTCGGGGCTGCTTCAGGCGAGCATGGAGTTTATTCAAAGGGCAGGCAGGTGGGGGCTGCTCAGTAGCAGACGCCTTCTGCCTCCGCCATGACAACAGACACGTTGACGTGGGTGGGTTTACCCGACAGGCGGTCGATGGTCTTCTGGGTGAAGGCCAGGGGCAGGGCCTCGTGGCCCACCATGCAGGAGTAGTTGTCTCCCTGCTTCCAGGCCTCGGCCTCCACGCGCAGCAGGCTGGTCACGGCGTAGGTGGTGATGCTCTGTTCGGGCTCGGGCAGGGGCCTCCAGGTCAGGTACTTCTCGCGAGGCAGCTCCTGGTTCCCATGCAGCCATCGAACCAGCACGTCCTTGGGGCTGAAGCCGCGCACAACGCACGTCAGCGTCACCATCTCGTTGAGGGCCAGCTCCTCCGACGGCGGCGGTAGCAGGTGGACCTGGGGCCGGATGGCGTCCTCTGGAGGACGGAGAGCCGGGTCAGGAGTTGGCATGGGGAGGAAAGAGCCCCCCGTCCCCTGGGCACCCCGTGCCTCAGTTTCCCCATGTAAGGTGCGGGAGGGGGCAGCAGGGAAGAGGCAGGCTCAGGAGAGCCCAGCTGTCCACGGGTGGGGTTCGGGCCCACCTAAGGATTTGGTGATGGTGGCAGTTAGCGTGTTCTCGGATTCTGGGTGGGTGGCGCTGCAGGAGAAGGTCGTTTTGCTGTTCCACTGCTCGGCACAGCCTGGCAGGACACTGGACACGCTGAAGCAGCCACAAGGGTCATGCTTGGGTGACTGCTGGACAGCGACCTTTCCATCTGAGGGAGACCAGGTGAATTGGGCGCCCTCGGGGTTTCTGAGGCCACTCAGTGTGCACGTGAGGCTGGCGTTGGAGCCCAGGAGCAGGTCCTCCAGAGCCGGCGGGTGCAGGGCCAGGCTGGGCTTGCAGCACGGGGACGGGGGTTGGGGAGCTTAAAGGAGAGAGAAGCCAGAGCAGTCAGTGAGCTCCTCTGCCTGCCCTCCCCTGTCCTCAGGTTCCAGCCCAAGACCCTCTTGGCCAACCCCCAGGGAACTCTACCCAGCAGCCCACTCCTGTCTGAGCTGAGCTCCCACAGGGACATGGTCCAGCACTGGGTCAGGGTGGGATGATGGGAGCCCGCCCCAGCCCACCCTCTGACCTCTGCAGGGCACGTCCACTGTCTGGCTGGAGCTGGAGAGGTGCTGCACTTGGCATGTCACGATCTTGCTGTCTGGGCACTGCTCAACTGGCGTGGTCAGCTGGCTGCTCATGGTGTACAGGACCCCGGAGGCAGGCTGCACGGTGGGGAAGTCCATGACGGACACGTTCTGGCCACTGAGGCCCCATGTCACCTTCAGGGGCGCCGGTGGGAAGAAGCCGTGGACCAGGCAGGCAAGGACCACCTGCCTGGATGCCTTGTCATAGCTGGGGCCCAGCGGGAAGACGCTGGGGCTGGTTGCAGGCTCTGAAACACAGGGTGCCCTGTAAGGTGGTGGCCCTCGTGCTGACGGGACCCCTGAGACAGCCCTATGAGGATAGGACGATGCCTGCCTTTCCTTTACATTGGAGGAAACTGGCACAGAGG